CACTAAGCTGAAACTATACAACAGCTGTGTTCTTCCAGTGCTTCTCTATGGAGCAGAATGTTGGCGCATGATACAACGAGACCTTACTAAATTGTCTACATTCCATACCAAGAATCTTAGAAGAATAATCAGGATATTTTGGCCAAATAAAATTTCCAACGAAAATCTACTGTCTCAGTGTAAACAAGAAGACATGGCCACTATAATTATGAAAAGACGCTGGCGATGGATAGGTCATGTGTTACGAAGAGAAGACGGATCTATTATGAAAATTGCACTCCACTGGAAACCAGATGGGAAGAGAAAGAGAGAAAGACCAAAAACAACCTGGCGCCGAACGGTAGAACAAGAATTAAAAGACCATCATCACACTTGAGGAACAATAGGCGCTTTGGCCTGCGACTGACAGAAGTGGAAGGACTTTGTTGCTGCCCTATGCGCCATTGGCGTAACGGGCAGTAAGTAAGTAAGTAAGTTACAAACCACAGATAATAGTTCAGCAATTTCCCATTTGAGTTCTATTAGAACCCTTGGATGAATGCCATCTGGTCCTGGAGATTTGTTAACATTAAGTTTTTCTATTTGTTCCAAAACCTCCTCTAATGACACTTCAGTCCGGGACAGTTCCTCAGATTCATCACCCACAAAGGACGCAGCAGATTTGGGAATCTCCCTAACGTCCTCAGCCGTGAAGACTGAAGCAAAGAAATCATTTAGTTTATCCACAATGGCTTTATCGTCCTTGATTGCTCCTTTTATATCTCGATCATCTAGGGGACCCATAGGTTTTTTAGCAGGCTTCCTGATTCTAATGTACTTAAAAAACATTTTGTTATTTCTTTTTGAGTTTTTGGCTAGCTGTTCCTCAAAATCTTTTTTTCTTTTCTTATTACATTTTTACACTTGATTTGACAGTGTTTATGTTCCTTTCTATTTATCACACTAGGATTGGACTCACTTCTTAAAAGATGCCTTTTTGTCCCTCACTGCTTCTTTTACCCCTAGATCCCTTTCTGTAGTACTCCTTCCTAGACAGTCACTTCCATTCTGTATGTGTGAAACTGATTGTTCTTTGTTATGGGGAGTACTTTGCATTTGTCCTTATTAAACTTCAGATTACTATTTACTTCAGGCCCCTATTCACTTCAGACCACTTCTCCAGTTTGTCCATATCATTTTGATTTATGACCCCATCCTGCAAAGCACAATATTAATTCAATTTTTGTTGTTATCTCTCTAGCAAAATTAAAACAGCTATATCTGATCAAGACCTGATGCCTGATGGTACCAGCAGGTTTACCTGCAAAGGGAAGCAGATTTACCACTTCATGGGAACTAGCACCTTCTCTGAATACACTGTTGTAGCAGAAACCTCTCTTGTCAAAATTGACGATGCTGCTCCTCTGGAAAAAGTCTGCCTGATAGGCTGTGGATTTTCCACTGGTTATGGAGCTGCTATCAATACTGCCAAGGTGAGCTAATTAAAGCCCATCTCCTAGTCACTATACCTATACTAACATGAATAGCCCCTTCTATTAGGGAACTTGTTCCATATGATTATAATGAATTCTGTAGGTCTGTTTGCATGAAATAGTGAGCAATACTGTCTCCAAAAGTTAATTTAAAAAAAGAATATACTCTTCTAGAACATTAGCCTTAACCATTTTATATTATACATATCTACTACATATTTGACTTTGTCTGTCTTCACTGAGTGAGTGTGTGTCTCTGTCTATTCAAGAACTCTTCCTAAATGGTAAGAGTTAGGTCCCAAATTAAGTATGCAGCTTCCTATTATTATAACTTAAAGCAAGGTAAGGGTTTGGTTGTGCTAGGAAAATGGGATGTGCCTGGAATATAATTGTTTGTCATAACATGGGAGGGTTCTGCGAGCAGGGACAGTTATACTGTAGAATGACCACAGGTGATAGATGGAGACCAGGACAGCTATAACCCTATTGGGGCAGCAGGGGACAGGGATAGAGAAAGGGACAGCAATCTACTATATATTTCAGAGAGTTTGTCTGTTCATGTGTCTTTCTGTCTGTCCCCCAGCCAGCGGACATGCACATGTCTCCGGGCTGTGCCTCCTATAGCGGCCATTAACAGGTGATTCACACCTCACCCCAAGCTGCTGCAGTGAGAGAGGGCTAGGATTGATCTCTCTCCCTGGGGCAGCCTGCATACTGAACCCCTCATCTCCAGCTCTACTCCACAGCAATGGTTTAAATTAAGAAAAACAAAAATAATTTCAGTTAAGGAAGCAAGCACTATTGGGAAATCTTCTAGTTTGTGTGTGTATGTGTGTGTGTATGTATATATAGATATATAGATATATATACACGTAAAATGTAAAATAACTTAATAAAAAGTTTACTCTTTGTTCCTGTACTTGTACTATGTCATTTTAAAAATCTTTAGTACAGTTCTAGTTTTAAAAACAAAACTGTACTTGATGGCTTGCATATAACCTCAGTTTCAAATTTCAACATTTCTGGTATTAATTAGAAGTCATGAATACTTAACCAACACACCAAACTCTATTTGAGAGGTGTGGTCTCTTGGGTCAGTCATGAATCAAAGATCTTGATGGTAAACACTGCTGACTGGAGTTTTATTAGGAATTTGCTGAGGAGGCTCACCAATCTGACCAGAAGGTTTCTAGGTTTCTCCTCCTTCCGGCCACAGAAGTTACAAACCAGACAGCTCTATGTCAGAAGGCAGATTTCGGGATTCACAACAATGACACTTAGACCACTGACATTTAAAACTGAATGCTTTTAATGATAAGAGTATTATGAGTATACATGGTAAAAGGCTTTAAATGATTACCTCAAAAATGGCGGCAGTGGCCTCTGATTGCACTATCAATGTAAATGTAACATCAAGACTAAACATATATGAAGACCCTCAGGAGATGAAGGAACCAGCCTCATTCTGCAGATGAAGCAGGGTTCTTAGTGGGGGAACAAGAAGATACGGTAGCAAGGAATAGAAGTGAGTGTAAAGAACAGTATGAAAGGCAAGGAAAGATAGGGGAATGTTGACCCCAGGCAGAACATTCATAGCCTTTTTATTGGCATTTTTACGTAAACCAATAACCAATGCAAAAACAGATTTCCGCAACTTAAGATTTGAAGGTGTACATATTTGATTGGAAATAATACATCTTAACTCCAAAAATGGGCACGATGCTGAAACTGACCAGGTGTTCACCTTTATTGGACAAACAGGACACCTCATTTATATTTTTGGGTCTCTCTGCTCTTCAATATACAATACAATATAATGCATACAATATAAAAGGATGTCTAATATATATTTTTACTTTGGCTAGCACTCTAGACATCTTTGTGGTTTTGACCCGGCCTTATGGACAAGATTGGAAATTTCCATGCATGCTAATAAGCTATATGTTATAACTTACCCTACTCCATCTTAGAATCATAGAATCATAGAATAATAGGACTGGAAGGGACCTCGAGAGGTCATCGAGTCCAGCCCCCCGCCCTCAAGGCAGGACCAAGCTCCGTCTACACCATCCCTGGCAGATGTCTATCTAACCTGTTCTTAAATATCTCCAGAGAGGGAGATTCCACCACTTCCCTTGGCAATTTATTCCAATATTTGACCACCCTGACAGTTAGAAATTTTTTCCTAATGTCCAATCTAAACCTCCCCTGCTGCACTTTAAGCCCATTACTCCTTGTCCTGTCCTCAGTAACCAAGAGGAACAAATTTTCTCCTTCCTCCTTGTGACACCCTTTTAGATATTTGAAAACCGCTATCATGTCCCCCCTTAATCTTCTTTTTTCCAAACTAAACAAGCCCAGTTCATGAAGCCTGGCTTCATAGGTCATGTTCTTTAGACCTTTAATCATTCTTGTCACTCTTCTCTGTACCCTTTCCAATTTCTCCACATCTTTCTTGAAATGTGGCGCCCAGAACTGGACACAGTACTCCAGCTGAGGCCTAACTAGTGCAGAGTAGAGCGGCAGAATGACTTCACGAGTTTTGCTTACAACACACCTGTTGATACAACCTAGAATTATATTTGCTTTTTTTGCAACAGCATCACACTGTTGACTCATATTCAACTTGTGGTCCACTATGACCCCTAGATCCCTTTCCGCTATGCTCCTTCCTAGACAGTCGCTTCCCATCTTGTATGTATGGAACTGATTACCTACTTTATTCCCAATGCTAACTTCTTACAGAAATAAGATTTCTGCAGGTCCCTTGCATTACTGCTAAAACAGAACAAATGGAGTGAGATAGTTAAAAGGTTTTGGAAAGTATATAAGCTGCAGGCAAGGTTTGGAAGAAGATACAAGGCTTACAGGCTACAAAACACAAGAAGTGGATCATTTATTTTATTTTTCAAACAATGCAACTGATATAGTCCCATCCGACCTGTGCATTTGCTGTGGTTTATTGATATGAACCGGAGATCACAGACAGACATTTAGAAGGTGCTTTTATCTCCAGAATTCTAAAGCCATTTTCTAACCTTTCTTCTTATTGCAGGTGGAACCTGGGTCTACTTGTGCTGTCTTTGGCTTAGGAGGAGTTGGCCTGTCAGCTGTTATGGGCTGTAAAGTTTCTGGAGCTTCTCGGATCTTTGCAATTGACATCAACAAAGATAAATTTTCATTGGCAAAAGAGTTAGGAGCTACCGACTGCCTCAATCCTCAGGATTTCAAGAAACCCATTCAGGAGGTTATAACTGAAATGAATGATGGTGGTGTCGATTTTGCCATTGAATGCATCGGTAACATTGCAGTCATGGTATGTTTATGTTCTTCTGTACCACAGACTGGTCACAGGGCTTGCTTATGGATAATAGATGTGTTCATCATAAGATCCTTTGCTGCTCTGCCAGGCAGAGCCATCCTTACGTATATTCAAAATATGCAGTTGCATAGGACACCTGAAAATTTGGGGCACCATTGGGTCTTAATGTCCACCCACCCACTCTTCCTATCCCTGCTCTGCTTCCTCCAGAGAGGATCTAGTTAACTTAAAAGTGAAAAAGCCTGCCAGATCCATTAGCCGAACATCAAATCTGTGATAGAGCCATTCAAGTGGTAATGATGCCATTTAACGGGCATTTGCCAACACCCTGGTATATACACTATCAGTATCTGAATTTACTGTGTTAATCTATAGGACTTGTCAGGGCTGTTCCCCGCTCTAGCACTCCAAGTGCAGAAGATGGGGGCCCACAAGAGACTTTAAAAATACCTTGCCTCTACAGGCTCTGCTTACAAAAACTCCCTAGAGTCACAGATTCTCTGACACTGTCACCATCAGGTGTCCAACTCCTTCTTTTAAAACTCAGGAAGAATCACTTGAACTTCTTCCAGAGGAGTACCTCAAGCTCTTTTACCAAAAGAGAGCTTGAAAAAAGAAAACAGAAAACAAACTTCAATCTCTAGTAGCTGACCTCTCAGCCTAGACAGGCACACACACAGACCTGTTACCTTCCAGGACACAAGAATCAAATCATCACCTTAAAAAAGGTGATTTTATTAACCAAACAAAAAGATATACTTGAGCAACTGAGAAAAAGAGCAGATTAAAACACAGAGAAGAATGGAATCTCTGGCACATCTTAGTTATAGTGAATGAGGGAGGGGAAGGCGGCACATGGATTTCACACAGAAAAGTTTAACCAAACAGCAAAATAAAGAAAAATACCCTGATCGTGACTAAACATACATTTCTTTATATACTCATAATCTGTACTAATCTGCACTTCAAGGCCCAGTCCATTCCCATGCCCAATATTTCTTGTAGGCATGGTAATTCCATTTGATTACTTCATCTTGTTTCCTCCAGCTACTAACTTAGAACTTCCACAAACAGAGCAGACAGCATGAATATATTTACAATTTAAATTTCAGCACTGTATCTCATTGGTTCTTCTGGCTCCCTGCCAACACTGTTAGCTACTTGAGTTTAACCCATTAGTCACTGAGTGCTGGCCAGCACTCCTTCTATCCATCACAGAGCCTTAGGATGTGTCTAGACTACATGGCTCCGTCGACAGAGCCATGTAAATTAGATTATTTGGCATAGTCAAAGAAGTGGGGTTTTAAATAATCCCCACTTCGTTAAAATAAACATGGCCACCGCGCTGTGCTGACAATCAGCTGATCCGATACAGCACGGCAGTCTAGACGCGGATCTGTCGGCTGGGGAAGCCTTTGCCGACCGATCCTGTAAACCTCGTTTACAGGATCCCCAGCCGACAGATCCACGTCTAGACTGCCACGCTCTGTCGGATCGGCTGATCCATGACAATATGTTACCTCTTAATCCATGGCTATCACCACAGTCCTCACTCAAACTCCCGTTAAAGTCCATGGAAGTGTAATTGATTGAATTATGAATGGAGTAAAGGGCCTAAAGTCTGACTAATTTCTGCTCTCTAAATCTGAGTTTGCTTTGTTTTTCAGAATGCTGCCCTTGAGTGCACCACAGTGGGCTGGGGAACTTGTGTGATTGTTGGAGTGGCTGTGGGAGGACAAACAATCGCTGTTTCTCCAATGCAACTGATAATGGGAAAGAAAATAAATGCCACTTTCTTTGGAGGTCAGTTTTCTTACATAGTTTCACCATAAGGAAGGCGCCGGGGGAGGGAATGGAAGAACAGTATTATCCATCTCATGTGAGATCTAAGATATAAACATGTTGGCAACTGTTTTGCACTACATCTGGGGAAATGTAAACAAAAATAAAAAGACTATCGTCCAATTCAAGAAAATTAATCCAAAATTGCACAATCTTGCCCCTTCTTCAGATAGCGTTCTTGGAAGCTAAGCTGTTTGCTGTCTTGTATTTTTATAGGAAAAACAAAATGTTTCCATACAAGAGAGTAAACATGGAAGTGAGATTTTTCACAAGGAGAAAATGGGAAGAGGAATCCTGTGAAATTTAGCAATTCCAAAAATTTCAAGCCCAAAGTCTGGTGTATTCACCCTATCTTTTTATAGGGATGTGAATCACTGTAATTATTTTCATCAGAAAAGACTAGAATTACTGCTCAGTAGGAGCATTTCACCCCTGGGCTTCAATCACTACATTGGTGCCCTACTAAATCCTGGATCAAGTTCAAGTTCATGGCTCTCGCCTTCAAAGATATACATCAGCAAGCCTCTTTGATGAGCTGCACCTTCCTCCACCACAAAGATTTGCCATTATGGCTTTTTTTTTTTGAGAAGCACAGTTCTCTGTCAAACTCAGCAGAACTGGAGACTGAGCTTTCTTAGCAGCCTGTGCAACTCAGTTCCTGAAAGTGTCAGGATGATCATGGATCACTGATTTCAACTTCCACAAACACAAACCCATCTCTACGCCCTACCTGCCTTGAACGACAATAATAATAATGAAACACTACAAGCCAAATCACCAACCCAATTTAACATTCAGTGTCATAGGAAGTGAGAGAGAACACAACAAAGATTCATGGGAGAAATTCACCATGGCAGAAGTCCAGCACAAGGGCTATTCACCACTCACACCCTCAAAGCAAAACTGACAGAACTGGTGCACAGGCCTCATGTGCAGATGTCACCACGCCCACTTGATTACTTGGTTGTGGTCTTTTAAGGCTCAGATGCCACAATGACGAACAGGGTATAAATATGTATCTCAGTAGTCTAAATGGCCCTTAAATAAGCTCTGCCCCAAAATAAGATAAGGATATGATTTATATTGCTGTACATACAGATTATCAAACTTGTAGATCTTCAAAACAAACAAATTACTATTCTAAATTATACAACTAGTTTGAAAAGAGGTGGCTTGTGGCCTATCAATTTAGAGAGACCATGCTCTCCATGCTGTGAAATGAAGTATGTGAATGACCCCTTCTGGGCTGCTAAACAAGGAAGATATTTTGCCTACAATTTTGCTTTTCTGGGCCAAATCCCCATTGACTTCAATGGCCATTCCACATATGGAATGAGAGTAAGAGGTGACTTTAAATGCTTGTTTAATGACTGACAACACCATACGCTACAACCTTGCATAACTCATGCTTTAAGCAAGAGAGTGTGTTAAATAATTGTTCTGAACTTAAATTAGTTTATATATGCGTGCTCTAGCACTGAAAAGATTATGGGGCCCCCCCCCCCCTATGTAATTCAAAATAAAAATACTATACCATAAAATCTTTTATTTTTAGTGCCCCTGCTTTGCTGGTGCCCTAAGCACATGCTTAGTCTGCCTATTGGGTAATCCAACCCTGATGCCTCTTGGTAATTCCAGAGGTAACGAGGGGTAGTTTAAAAAAAACTCACAGGAAAAATATGTTCAAGTTGAGCACTGATTTAATGACTAAGCCCCACTGTTACTTTCCTCTCTTCATAGAAAATACAGAAAGCTTTTTGTACTCCATGGGGTTAGCCAGGGAATACCAACAGAATCACTACATTCCTATAGTGGAAAGTGCAACATAAGAACAGCCGTACTGGGTCAGACCAAAGGTCCATCTAGCCCAGTAGCCTGTCTGCCAACAGTGGCCAGCACCAGATGCACCAGAGAGGATGGACCGAAGACAATGATCAAGTGATTTGTCTCCTGCCATTCTTCTCCAGCCTCTGACAAACAAAGGCGAGGGACACCATTTCTATCCCCTGGCTAATAGCCTTTTATGGACCTAACCTCCGTGAAATTATCTAGCTTCTCTTTAAACTCTGTTATAGTCCTAGCCTTCACAGCCTCCTCTGGTAAGGAGTTCCACAGGTTGACTACATGCTGTGTAAAGAACTTTCTTTTATTAGTTTTAAACCTGCTACCCATTAATTTCATTTGGTGTCCTCTAGTTCTTCTACTATGGGAACTAATAAATAACTTTTCTTTATCCGCCCTCTCCACACCACTCATGATTTATATACCTCTATCATATCCCCCCTCAGTCTCCTCTTTTCTAAACTGAAAAGTCCTAGTTGCTTTAACCTCTCTTCATATGGGATCCGTTCCAAGCCTCTAATCATTTTAGTTGCCCTTTTCTGAACCCTTTCCAAGGCCAAAATATCTTTTTTGAGGTGAGAAGACCACATCTGTACACAGTATTCAAGATGTGGGCGAATCATAGTTTTATACAGGGGCAGTAAGATATTTTGTGTCTTATTTTCTATCCCTTTCTTAATAATTCCTTGCATCCTATTTGCCTTTTTGACCACCGCTGCACACTGTGTGGAAGTTTTTAGAGAACTATCCATGATAACTCCAAGATCTCTTTCCTGATTTGTCATAGCCAAATTAGCCCCCATCATACTGTACGTATAGTTGGGGTTATTTTTCCTGATGTGCATTACTTTACACTTATCCACATTAAATTTCATTTGCCATTTTGTTGCCCAATCGCTCAGTTTGGTGAGATCTTCTTGGAGTACCACACAGTCTGCTTCTGTCTTGACTATCCTAAACAGGTTGGCATCGTCCGCAAACTTTACCACCTCACTGCTTACCCCTTTCTCCAAGAGCATTTATGAATAAGTTGAAAAGGATTGGTCCGAGAACTGAACCTTGGGAGACACCACTAGTTACCCCTCTCCATTCTGAAAATTTACTATTTATTCCTACCCTTTGTTTCCTGTCTTTTAACCAGTTCTCAATCCAAGAAAGGACCTTCCCTCTTATCCCATGGCCATGTAATTTACACAAGAGCCTTTGGTGAGGGACCTTGTCAAAGGCTTTCTGAAAATCTAAGTATACTGGATCTACTGGATCCCCCTTGTCCGCATGTTTATTATCCCCTTCAAAGAATTCTAATAGATTAGTAAGACATGATTTCCCTTTACAGAAACCATGTTGACTTTTGACCAACAAATTATGTTCTTCTACATGCCTCACAATTTTATTCTTTACTATTGTTCGACTAATTTGCCCGGTAGTGAAGTTAGACTTACCAGTCTGTAATTGCCAGGATCACTGCTAGATCCCTTTTAAAATATTGGTGTCATGTTGGCTACATTCCAGTCATTAGGTACGGAAGCCCATTTAAAGGATAGCTTACAAACCACAGATAATAGTTCAGCAATTTCCCATTTGAGTTCTTTTAGAACCCTTGGATGAATGCTATCCGGTCCTGGAGATTTGTTAACATTAAGTTTTTCTATTTGTTCCAAAACCTCCTCTAATGACACTTCAATCCGGGACAGTTCCTCAGATTCATCACCCACAAAGGACGCAGCAGATTTGGGAATCTCCCTAACGTCCTCAGCCGTGAAGACTGAAGCAAAGAAATCATTTAGTTTATCCACAATGGCTTTATCGTCCTTGATTGCTCCTTTTATATCTCAATCGTCTAGGGGACCCACAGGTTTCTTAGCAGGCTTCCTGCTTCTAATGTACTTAAAAAACATTTTGTTATTTCTTTTTGAGTTTTTGGCTAGCTATTCCTCACAGTCTTTTTTTGCTTTTCTTATTATATTTTTACACTTGATTTGACAGTGTTTATGTTCCTTTCTATTTATCTCACTAGGATTTGACTTCCACTTCTTTGGATGAGTTGAGGTGACATAGGCTTACCTGTATCTTCAGTCCCCCGAAGGAACTTGGAGGCAGCCAAAACTTCCCTGAATGAAGGGGCTGCTTCGGAGAGGGCATAATAAGTGTGCCTAGGATATGCACTGATCCAGAATACCTCTTGGGCAGCCTTTGGGTAGACAGGTTCCTTCCGCAGACTCACTGCCATAATTAATGCTGATCTCTCCCAGTGAAACTCAAGGGGAGAATCACAGTATAAGAATCCTCCAGAGAAGGAAAATCAAGCCCACTTAAGGATGACTTTGATCTTTTCAATGAAGTGCTGACTCAGACACACCTCCCTGACTACTTTCCTATTCCTATTCCTGAACCAAAATTATCTTTTTTTTATGACCTAGTTATATAAATACAACCTGTTTGATTTTTGGTATTACATGGTTTGTTGCAGGTTGGAAGAGTATAGATTCTGTACCGAAGCTGGTGTCTGACTATATGGCAAAGAAATTCAATTTGGATGCGTTGGTGACTTACACTCTGCCATTTGAAAAAATCAACAAAGCTTTTGATCTTATGTGTGAGGGGAAGAGGTAGGTCATTATCAAGAAATTAAATCTGTCTTATCTTGCTGATATAGCACCTTTAAAACAAAGCACCTTTAAAAACCCATCAAAACCTTATTCCTGCTATGTAGAATAGTAGTAGCCGTGTTATCTGGCCTTGCAGGCTTCCTGCAAGGGTCTGGCCCACGAAAGCTCATCACCTAATAAACCATCTTGTTAGTCTTTAAAGTGCTGCACAGTCCTGCCTTTTATTCCTGCTACTCTCTTAGCAGATTACAACTGATAGGGTAATCAGACAGTATTTTCAATGGGCTCTAACAGTTTCCTAATCAGCCCAATGTATCAGGCAGTGGTTCATGTGCTTCCACAAAGGAGAGTAAAGGGAATGGGAAATCTACATTTAAACAGAATACCTCCTTTTTTAGTTTTGTTTATATTAGAAATTATCAGCACTAACAAACCTTCTTTTAAAAAGTTCTAAACTGTACTTTTGCTGGAAATATTTATACTTTATTCCTAGATATAAACTGAGTACATTGATAGCACAGCACTGCATTCAACTTGTGTAATTAGAAGGGTGCATGCAAGGACACATTTTGGAGGGGCCAGGGTGATGGCCATCTGATACAATTTGGCCTATTGCAAAAGCCAAAAGTTTGTCTTGTCATTTTAGTGACACTCCCCCACTGGGTTATCTGTGGCCTGGCCAGGTTTAGCAAAGAACAGGTGGCTCCATCCAAGGCAGGAAAACTAGCCAAATTTCCTTTTACTGGGGTAACAATTTTAAGAGGGACCCAAAGATCCCCTGTACTCCATCAGTGAATCCTGTGAATCCTAGCACTTTATCTTCCCAGCACAAGAACAGTTCTGCTAAATTGGTCAACAGCTGACAGAGGTGGGAGAGGCTGAGGCTTTAAACAGAAGCAGCCAGGGACAGTAAAAAACAAGCATTTTCCCTATGCAGATGCTATGTACAAATGTCTAAAAGCTTCAAATAAATAAAACTGATATTTTTTTATTTTCTGTTTGCAGCACCAGAACCGTCTTAGTTTTTTAAGGATTCAACTTAAGTTTTTGCAGACTCCCATATGAATTTGAGCCTCGTCCTTTGCCTGCCTTATTGCTTATTGATTCAATTATCTTTTCTTTCCATATTCCTGAAAGTACTTATGCTCAGTACATAATAATATAGAACAGGTAAGAATTAAAGGTCACATTAGACAGTAGCTAAAAAACATACAGATGTAAGTGTTGCGTAGCACTGTGATACTAATACATAACATTTATACATGAATGTGCAAACAGTGGGTCCTTTAGTGCAACATGCTTTTTTGCTAACTCTGCGATATGCTATTTTTTTAGCTAACAGTATCTAAAGTCATGGAATAAACTATATAACATGTGTTTCCTAATTTATGCCAAGAAAGTAGCTAAAGCTTGCTCCTCCTGGGAAATTAGGCACTTAATTCCACTACTAGGGATTCAACGCTTGTGGAATTGGACACGTAAACCAGGTCAGCCCTTTCTCCCAAAGGGCAGGATACTTCTATTGTCACCAGTAACCCAGTGGTTAGGGCACTCACCTGAGATGTGGGAGGCCTGTTTTCAAATCCCTTTTACTGCCTGATTTGGAGCAGGGACTTGAGCATTGATCTCCCATATTATAAAAGCAGCAGAGTGCCATAATCCCTGAGGGTATGTCTACACTACAGCACTAATTCGAACTAACTTAATTCGAATTAGTTAATTCGAACTAAGCTAATTCAAATTAGTGCATCTAGACCTAAAAACTAGTTCGAATTAGCATTTTGCTAATTCGAACTAGCAAGTCCACATTGAGTGGACCCTGAACGAGGTTAAGGATGGCCGGAAGCAGTGCCGGCAGGGCATCAGATTAGGATTTAGAGCATGGAGCTACTGTCTCAGGCTAGCAGAGGGCTGTGCTTTAAGGGACCTGACCCCCACCCTGGACAGACAGTTCTCAGGGGTTCCCCGCTTGCAAAGCAGTCCTGGCTTGGAGTGCCCTGAGTGCCCACACTCGGCACATCACAGCAGGTTAAGGATGGCCGGAAGCAGTGCCGGCAGGGCATCAGATTAGGATTTAGAGCATGGAGCTACTGTCTCAGGCTAGCAGAGGGCTGTGCTTTAAGGGACCTGACCCCCACCCTGGACAGACAGTTCTCAGGGGTTCCCCGCTTGCAAAGCAGTCCTGGCTTGGAGTGCCCTGAGTGCCCACACTCGGCACATCACAGCATTCGGCCATCAGCCTGGCTGCACTTGCTGCAGGCTGCCATCCGGGGGGGTCAATTGGGGGGCTGTCAGGATCCAGGGGGCCCTG